GTTCCGAAACAAGTGTATGATCACTTACACAATGAATACAAAGCCTTTAGTTAAAAAGCAACAACATTGACCTTATTTATAACAGCAATGGTTTTGCTATTTTACCTTTAACATAAATTATATTAGGTTCTTACCAAAAATCTTCATCAGTAAGAACACACAAAAAGTTATTGATTTTTATTCTTCAAATCCTTCAACATTGATCATCTTGATATTGTCTTCACACATCTAGAATCGGTTACAGACATTAGGCTTAAAATAATGTTAGAATCTGGTGAAAAAACAGGTTCATTGTTTCCTGTGGTTGAAAGATGGTTCACTTCTTCTTTAAAAACAACAGGGCTGGAAAAAAGCAGAAGAACTATTTAGTTTGGACTTGATGAAATGATTGCCCATATATCTGGATGACAGAATGTAAAATAGGACTGGGTCAAAAGGTCTTGACTGAATTTGATTTATTTTTCTGATGAAATATAAGGTATTAGTTTAAATGATCTAGATTAGTTGAAGCTTGAAATTAAATATTTGCTTGAACCTTCATGTAAAAAAGGTTCATCATAAAAGTTGTATGTTTCATCATAAACCTCACAGATGATGTTCCCAGAAGTTTGGGTCATGTGTCACTGTTTAACAGAACCGGAGAGTCTCTCTGAAGCCGTTTTCAGGGAACCTTCAGAGTCTCTGTCTGACAGCCGCCACAATCTTTAGCTCAGTTACCAGTTAAACCAGTCTGACCATCCTCCTCCTTGCCCTCAACCCGCTCACCTGTCTGGAACAAAAGGGGATCTCCGGTTCCCAGGAGACAAACTGGGATGATGGAGGGTTTTACTTTCTCCCAGGGGCCTCTTATGTCAGGGTCCCGGCCCTTCCTCCATCCCCTGAGAGGCCGCAGAGGCCGAGGGAAAGTTGGGACGGATCCGTGTCCGTGACGGGCCGACTGAGTGGTCTGTCTCTAATGACAAGCTAAGACCTGCTGCAGATGTCTGACAGATTGGAGGCTGGGTCAGGGATGGAGGCACCCCGGAAAGGGAAAGGAGGGCTGCTCCGCATCACATTCGGACTCGAAAAGGGATGATTAAAGAGGCCGGTTGGCGGAAACCCGATCCGTCCCGGCTGATCGGGGGAAGGTCCTTACCACCACATTCTCGCAGAACCTGACAGCTTGTCTCACCTCAGCACACAGCCGCTAATGAGTCGACATATTTGAGTCTTGGGGAGCGGCTGTCTCAGCTGACCAAAAGCTCAACTTGTTGCAGCTTCTGCTCAATAGTTT